GAGAAAAAACGGAACATGTGCAGATGCGATCCCCCAAATACTACGAAACGTAATACCGTAGTGGAAAATGCCATAGTGAACCAAGAAAAGTAGTAGTTCTCAAGTGAGAGGGTTTTTCGGGATTCTCATTATTATTTTCACTGCCATAGTTTCAGATAATTGCATCGCTAAAGTGACCTCTATTCCTTTAGACTATTGGTGGATCCACTGAGCGCGTTGTCAATAAGTCCCGCCGGGGATTGGGTGGCGATGGCTTCAGAGGGTAGTGGAGGTGGAGGTGGTGGTAATTTGGCGGTATGGGAATGGCGCAGTCGGTCCCCTCACTTGCGTGCCGCTTCTCACGCTGCAAACGAGGTTACCAGCCTCGCCTATTCTCCCGATGGGCAGCTCCTGGCCACTGGAGGACGTGACGCCAAAGTGCGGCTATGGCGGGTGGTCTCGGGTGGTCGAGCCGTCGTTACCTTTCATGAACATGCCGGTCCCGTCACTACTGTAGCCTTCCCTGCTACCAAACCCAAGGTCCTCCTCTCCGCCAGTCTTGATGGCACAGTGAGGGCCTTCGATTTAAATAGGTGGGCTAAGTTGTCTTTGATGGAGCTACAAATGTTAAGTGTGTTGTAAGTCTTCAGAAAGTATTTATTACTGGTAGTACTGGTAATAATGGTGCTTTAAAACTACCAGCGTCTTGTCCGAATCGCGGGGACCCAAAGAAACGTGCATTGTTGAATGCACATTCTAGATCATTTGCTCGGTCTCTTCGTGAATGTCCACTTGCGACCTTGCGAAAATAGACGATGCTTAAACACGGTCCGGTCACTGATGACGGCTTGACCACTTGACTATTAGTTTTGTCTTCTAATTCTTGCATGCATTGATATCGTCTACCTTCCCCTAATAGTTCTATTGATGCATCGCATGAACTGTTTCGTCGACAGTAGTTTTGTTCAATAGGGAGTGTGCTATTTAATTCATCTACGCTTATCTGCTATGACGTGGTTGAGATTATGGTACTCTTCTAGATTGGCCTAAGACCCCCGCTTCTGATTATTAGCAGTGAAAACTCCTAAAGTAACTTTGTTGATCATCAATTCGGATTACGTTGGCTGCACACGGAGTTTTATTGAATGACTATTCCCACTATTCATCTGCGAGGTCTGATAGCGAGAATGCAAGTGCCTTAGTTGTTATAAGATTTGAACGTACTTAGTTGAGTTATGCGAGGTAACAACAATACGTGGCAAACATCTTTTAGTTTAATAATTGTCTTTACTTATAATAACATGGTAGCATGTGTAATGAATGTTAGATACCGTAATTTCCGGACAATGTCAGTACCCAATCGTGACGGGGTGCAGTTCTCCTGCCTAGCGGTGGACTCAACCGGCGAGTTGGTGGCTTGTGGCGCTTTAGATACCTTTGAGGGCTTTGTCTTTGCCCTACGCACCGGCGATCTCCTAGCATCTCTCACGGGCCACACAGCTCCCATCTCTGCGGTACAATTCAAACCCGTATTGGAGCAGTTTGGCCGACTAGAGGTCCTCACTGCCGGCTGGGACGCTTCCATCCGTACCTGGAGTTTGGCTGAGTCTGAATCTGCCGCTGGCGGTGAGGGTAGTGGATGCACTTTGTTGGAGACCATCTCTGTACCCTTGGATGGTGAGTTTGTGCACCATTTACTTCCTGCTTAACTCAAGCGACTATGCGGCTTTCATAAAAGGAGGCTCATATCCGTAAGGCTTAGTGACATCAAACGGCTCTGCATAGTTCAAATCTCATAGGTTCAAAAACGTTAGTGCACCAGTTACGATAGCTTTTTGCTGTTTGTGCAACTACTTGCAGTTCACTTCCAGCCTTTGATCTTTTGTCATCTCTATTAATCGAATCGACGAGTTGGCGTTTTTTCATTGTTAACTTTGGAAATAACCATTGAAATGACACATTCGAATAATTTTCCCCTTTTCTGAATGTGCTATGGCTTTCGCTATTCAGTGCATTGGAAGAACTCAATATTTTTGAGGAAGCTAAGCTTGAATTAGGCGCTTCTTAAAAGATGACCGAACTATTTTTGCAAATCTGAATTTGTATGACAGGCATTAACATCACTGGTTAAGTTGTTAGATAAGGTTTTCTTCCCGAAAGGGACGTCATTATTCATAGTCTTATTCGGCGTTCTTCAGTTCCAGATTCCTCCGTGCTCATCGTGTGCTCATAAAAATACACTTTTGGGTCTTTTTTATGCAGAT